GGCGCCTTAGCCGGTTGAGCTATAGGCGCCGAGCCACAGGTCCCTTTTTAAATGCACAGTGGTCATAGTGGTGAGTTGGGTGTGGCTTAGAGCTCTGTTTATCTTGAAGGTGACAGAAGTGCCCTGCGGCCCAGCGGACTGCGACTAGGGACCCCAGCACTGACATCCCGAGGACTTTTGGAAAAAGATTTTCAAAAAGTAGCCCACTTTATTCATAGAGGTGAGGATAACATTTTGCAAGTTTGGTTATGACAGTAGTTGAGACTCCATCACTGAAGAACACTACTGTGTCAAGGCTGAGGCTGGGGCGGGAGATAGCAAAAACCACTTGTCTGCCCAGGGAACGGTATACCCAAGAACCTTTTCCGCAGGGGACAGAGGGCTCTCCTCCCCAACTGTGGGGATGTTCTGCAGCCGCACCTTGGCTCGCAGTCTCCCTCCCCACTCTAGGAGTGTGGCTCAGGATGGACCTGGGGGGACTCACTGTGTCTTGTTGCACAGGGATAGAGCTGACTCTGCAGATCCAGGACACTGTCGGGGTGAGGGCCAGTCTGAAGGAGTTTAAGGAGAGCCTGGCAGGGGACATGCACCAGGGCGCCGTGCAGGCTCTCCGGGAGGAAGTGGAGAGCTTTGCTTCGGTCTTCCCTCTGCCTGGCCTGCCCGACTTCTGATGGAGCCACCTGCTCTGCACCTGCACAGTGCTATCCAGGAAGCAGCCTGCTGGAGGACCCAGGCTCCTGCACAGAAGAGCTGCCCCATGGGGACCTGCTAGTTTCTTTGTGTGCCCTTTGAGGGACTTTCTTTTGAACTTTTTCATGTTTCTTCACAAACCAAAATTTAAGTTCCCTTCTGAGTAATTCTGGTACAGGTTATTAATGAATTCAAATTTAGGCTAGGCATGGTGGCTTATGCCTGTAATCCTAGCACTCTAGGAGGCTGAGGCAGGTGGATTGCTTGAGCTCATGAGTTTGAGATCAGCCTGAGCAAAAGCGAAACCCCATCTCTAAAAACAGAAAAACTGAGGCAGGAGGATGACTTGAGCCCAAGTTGGAGATTGCTGTGAGCTATGATGCCACAGCACTCTACCCAGGGTGACAGCTTGAGACTGTCTCAAAAAAAAAAAAAAGAATTCAAATTTAAATCTTACTTTCTTACCGCAGTATATAATTATTCTAGAAAGCAAAAATACTATGTAGCTATTTACAGGGTTTTGCTTACCTTTCTCCTAAAACAGTGGTTCTCAACCTCCCTAATGCTATGACCCTTTAATACAGTTCCTCATGTTGTGATGACCCCGACCATAAAATTTTCATTGCTACTTCGTAACTGTAATTTTGCTACTGTTATGGATTGTAAAGTAAATATCTGATATGCAGGATGTATTTAGGCAACCCTTGTGAAAGGGTCATTCAACCCCCAAACAGGTCACAACCCATAGGTTGAGAACCGCTGTTACTGGGCTTTCCTTGCCCCAGCTCACAGCTTGTGAACACTGCCCATTCTAGCCTGTCACCCAATGTGGTGCCAGAGAACTGAATTAGGACAGTTACACCTAAAGAGAGAACCTGTGAAGCCACTGCTGTGTGCTGTGAGTTTGTGAGTTGGAAGGTTAAGTGAGACAGGGCTCACAGCTGTGCTCTCAGCAGCTCTCAGTGTGTGGTAGAAACATCTTCACCCTCCAGGTGGGGAAATCCCCAGCCTCATCCTGTGAAAACCAACCAGGGGCTTTCCTGCTCCACCTGAGAGAGCAATACCCTGCTGTAATCAGGAAATCCAGTGTCACCTTCCTAAAGAAACTTTATTTTTCACGTAGCTGAAGTGCAAAACATAGGTGACCATTTTTAATAAGCACAAATTTTTAACCACAGAATGTCTACAAGAATTATAGCTTTAAAAAATACAACCAATTTTTATATTCCAAAAATATCTGAACTCAAATAAATTAATTTCTTAAAAAGTACACAGTTCTCATACTATATGTTTGGCATTGACTCTGGTCAGCCCCTGTGCAGCTGCACCTACGAGACACCACCACACACGCGCCAGCTGCACTCTTGCACCAGCCACTGCGACAGCAGCTCACATGGGGGTTGGGATTCAGTGGCCACAGACAGGAACAGGAACATGCAGTAATAAAATAGCTCTTTTAAAAATAACAAATATGAATTAATCACAGACTATGCTTTCACTACAACTTTGAGGGTGGCATTTACCTTGATCCAACCTGTTGACTCCCACTGTCCAGTGCTGGACAGCCTGGGTTAGACACCCTGTGGTCCCACCATTCAAGTAGCAGCCCCTGCAACCTGGGATCCAGGCTTGCGTGGGGACAGCTGCTATACAGTCTATCAGGTGTGGGTAACAGGCCAGTCCCTGCATCTCTGCCTCCACTGGGAGTTGATATGCTACCCACGGTCTTAAAAGTTTAGGGCATGACTCCTCCCCAGCTGAAGACCTGATAGACATCTCCAGGACCCACTATGCATAGCCCCCAGGAAGCTGACCCCAAAACAGCAGGGTGATTTGCTGTGGTACCCAAGCCCTCCCCACATCCATGCCTGCCACCTCCTTCCCACAGGTGCAACCAAACCTTAATCATAGAAGCCCAGATCAGGCCAGTGCTGGAAGGAGAATGGGCTCAGGAGAACTTACTTTACCCAGCCTTATCAGCTGAGGTTGGTTTTGCTTTCCAGCCAGAAGCAAAAATTTGAGGCTTTTCCTTTTAGTACGTTTCTTTTTAAAGACTCGTTTTAATCACAGTATTCGAACAAAGCCAAAAAGCTGGCTGGTTTGTTTCAAAGTACAAACCAAGGCACTTTCTTCTGAGCTTTTCAGGGAGGTAGGAAGATACAGGATGGAAGATATCTGCCTGCCTGCCCTGGGGGCTTGGTCCCTCCAGAGGCTTTGCACACCATCCCCCAATGCCAACAGCTATGCAGGTACAGACTGGAGCAGCAGAAGATGCCAACCCACCTGTGATGCTGGGCTCAGGGCATGCCAGAAGGGGCAGGCAGGGTGTGCAAGGGAGCTAGCAAGCTGATGTCTGCTCTGGGCCTCCAGAAACAGCTCAACTGTAACAACCCTGGCATTTGGTGTAGCAGGAACTGGCCACCTAGGATTTTAAAATGGGCCTTGTTATTTTGTGTGGAGTTGAAATCTACTATGCCTTGAATACAGCATTGAGCTGAAGCAAAGACGTTAGAGATTGATGGAGAATAACAGGTAAAGCTACTGAGGTCCATGAGGTTCCACAGAAGCAGGAGCCCCATAGGGCTGCAGCCTCATCTCTGCAGTACAGCTTCTGAAAACCACCAATGCACACCTGCCCACCTGCCCAGGTTCTTCACCTGGACTGCATCAGGAAGGGGCAGTGGGGATGGGCTGGAGAGAAAGTTGACACCTCAGACAACCAGTTTCAGTACCTGGGCCCTCTGGGGCACTGCTATCATCCACGTTCTAGGAAGTAGCTTTAAAGTTTCTTAGTAAAACATGCTGTTGACTAGAACACTTCAAATATAAATTCTTGAAGAGACTCCCTGCCATGCAGGCTTATAGAGGTGAGAATTCTGGTAGGTTCAAGTTCCCCAGAATGGACAAGGGCTAGGGAGGGCAGAGCTTCACAATAATTGCCTCTGCCCACTATGACTCAGTCTTACTACTTTTAAGATATTTGAAAGGAGACACTTTGAATCAAGTAATCCTTTGAAAGGGGCACACTGAAAAATTAGCTTTCAATCAAAGTCTACTTCCTGGAGTTCAAACACTAGCCAGTGAAGCCATCTTTACTTAATGGAGACCTGCCCGTCTGCCACCTCCAGGACTGCCCCACAGAATACTTGTTCCATTCACTCCCCCACTGGCCTCTTTGCCACCTTCTGAATCACGCTCAAGACTGATGCCTGGCAAATAAATCCTAAGTGGACTTAGAGACCATAAGTACACAGCGTTAGCTTCTAAAAGGCCACATATGGCTGCAGTCCAGCATCTGCCCCAAACCTGTCTTCTGCCTTTTGCAAGTTTCCCAGGTAAGAATGTTACCTCTGAGTCTTCAACTTGGTGTGACATGTGAGACTTAACAGCACTAGCGCCAAAGATCTTTCTGACCTTCCCTCAAGATAAAATGTCCTGTGGTCATGTCCTTGGAGGCATCAGTAGATAGCAATCAGCTGCAGGGAGAGAGAACAAAGGGGCCCCAAGAATATATAGGGTTGGGGGTACAGACAAGAGAGCCTTGAGGAGCTGGCTTCCTGTTCGACCTGCCTCCCCTGCAGACAACACATGTGTCGCACTTACAAGTTGCCGGCCGAGGGATCCCTGGCAACTCCCGTCTAGGAATCTGCGCTGCACGCAGAGAACCCATGGGATGTAGGCAGGGCACGTGCCACACAGCTTGTAGGTCACAGCCTCAGGAGCAAACCCACACACCCTCTAACGGGAGCTAATGGCCACAGACAACAGACTGTCCTTGTGCCAAGACATGGCAAGGAAGTGACTATAGGAGTGATGTGACACAAGGCCCTCTTCTGTCGCTCTTGCCTTCCACCTGGGGTTCCTGCCTACCTGATGAAGGGAATCTGGCTGCTCCCGTGGGAGACCCCAGCTGTGTGGGCACGAGCCCCAGCAGGTACATATGTGACTGATTCAGGTTATTTCAGTATAATTTTTGTGGAATAAATTAAAAAGCAGCAGTAATAGAGTTGTCCCCATTTGGGGGAAGAAACAGCTTTAAAAATAAAGGAATAAAATTGTTTAGATTGCAGAAAGCCTCCATCTACATACCAGTGGCAAATATGTAAGGAGCCTGAGAGGGGCTGGTGATCACCATCAGTGAGACAGGTGCTGAGGGAACCAGAGGGTGTCTCCTTTCATCTCAAACTTCCTCCTCAAAGGAGGGACTCCCCTAAGTACAGAGATGCGCACATCCTCCCAAAGGCATACCCCAAAGAGTGCCAAGGGGGAGCTTGTCCAGGAAGTTCCTGCCATCTGAGGTCTCCCCCAGTGGCCTGACCACCCAGCCCTACTAGTTAAACAGATTGAGCTGTTGCTGTGCCCAAAAGACCTGTGAGAGGTAGTGAAGTGGCTGCAGAGGTTTGCATGGGTGAGGGGCTAGAGGGCAGCCTCTGCCATGTTCTGTAGGGTCTAGAGACCTTCTTATAAGGACAGTCCATGAATTCTGGCAAGCAGAAGCAGTGGGTGGCTCAGGAGAGCTTACTGCTCCTCTCTTGCACGGTAGTGATGGCCTCATGGCACAGGGGCTGCCCTGTCGGCTGTGCTCTCCAGTCCCTAAGGCAGTCCTCACCATTGGCTTTGGTCATCTGTGCCTGCTTCACATAGCAACTAGTGACCACTCATTCTTGCTGACCATGGGGAATGAGTCCTCAGGCCCACTCCCAGGCTGCCTCCCGGGTAAGGACATGACAAGGTGCTGCTCACACTCTTGTGCCTTGGGGCCCAGGAGAGTGTGCACTTCCCACCACCCAGAGGGCACTGGGCTTTCTCCACCTCCATGTTCAGGGGCCTCCCTTAGGGTGATGGGCTCAAGGAGGCACATACAGAGCTGCAGCTGGGGTCTGAATGCAGTGATGGACATTCTGTCCTCTGTTTTCCACCAAACCATCACAGTTAACCAGCTGCCTTCCTTGCTGATTTTGCCAAGCAAGTGTCCAGTGATGCTGAATGTGGCCAGGATGCTCCTCCCACATAACCTTTGGCCTTTCACCTTTCACCTCCCCCTCACCAACTGGTGGCTTCTCTTCTGCCCTGGGTATCAGTCCCAAGAAAGCCAAGACAACCCCTCCACCCCCATCCAGGGCCAACCTTCACCAGGGAGCCAAAAACAACCGTCACTGTCTTTCCAGATACCTTCACAGGGAGCCACCTTGGAACCACAGCTGCCAGATACCAGAAGCCTAAATAGCCCAGCTCAAGCCAACAGTTTGGTCATGCCAAGCCCTCCTCTCCCCGTACCCTGAGTCACAGGCCTTGGTCACAGTGGCTGAGACCAACTTCAGATTTTGTACAAAAAGCTGGGGACATAGTCACACCTGAGCACAGGGTGGCTGGTCCCAGGAGCCTCCTGCATGTAGTGCAGTTTTAGCAGCTCAGCCAGGTACTGCACCACCCTGACATCCTCATTCACCAGGCCCAGGGTCAACCTCAGGAAGCTGGCCTGGCGGCTGGCCAGCAGCTGCATGGCCTCCTTGTCATGGGAGGGCAGGTGCAGGTGGTGGCAGAAGGTATACAGGAAGGCCTTGGAGCAGAGCTGGGCAAGCACACTCTGCACATGCAGGTAGTAGGTGCTGCCTCTCTTGATCTGGGTGCGGTGGTCCGCCAAGCGGGGCACCAGGGCGCCTCTATAGAGGGGGCAGCGCAGGGTTTTGTTGTCCAGGTCCAAGATGCTCGTGTAGCGGCTATAGCGGCTCAGGGTGTGGAGGGTGCCGGCACCAGCAGGGGAGGCCACTCTGAAACAGATAGGCCAAGGTCAGGAGGAAGGGCAAGGGCTAGGAAGGCAGAGGCTTGGGAGGTGCAGCCTCCAGTCCTCAGCCAGCTCCCACCCAGCCAGCACACACTGGCTTCCTCCCAAAAGCCAGACCCAGTCACCAAGATCTTCAAAAGCCTCCTCACAGCACTCATGACCAAGGTCAAACACCATAGCTCGACCCACAAGGCCCTTCCGTTCTGACTCCTGCTGGCCTCTAAAGCCTCAGCTATTACTTCCCATGTGCATTCTCCTTTGGAGCCATGCCAAGCTTTCAGTAGCACCTGAAAATCACCAACCCCTCTGCTCTGCCTGGAGTGCCCTCTCCCTCCTGTGCTTGGCTTGTGCCAACTTAAACCCTGTTCAGCCCTCCCTGATCCTTCTTCTCTGCCCCTCTGCTTTCATGGTGGGAACTTGGCCAAGTCCCCTAACCTCTCTGAGCCTCACCTCTGTGTTGGAGATAATAGTTCCTACTATGACATTCCTCATGGGGCTGCTAAATAGACACACGAGTGGAGCCTGAGCCAGGGCCAGCCCTCATAGGAGCTGTCATCATCATCATGACTTTTAGCCTAGCACTGATCTGTGTGGTAACTGCTGTTTATAACCCCCTCCCACCACCACCAGCATAGAAGGACCTTCTAGATTCTAGACATCCAGGACTCCATCTAATTTGGTCTCATGCCCCACATGCCTGGCACATTAGCAGCAGGAAGGCAGTGTTGGCTCAGTAAGGGAAGCTGCACCTTAAACGTTCCCTTTTAGAGCAGTTTACCTCAAGGAACAGTGATTGCTGAGCAGAGTCTGGCAACTGGCTTGCTGAGATCTTACAGATAACATGTTTTAGACATTTAGGGCTTGTGTCAGACACGGGTATCGTGTAAGAGGGCCTGCCAGACACAGGCCCTTGGGACAAAGAGAATATCAATTATTTTCCCCTTCTTATATAATTAAGCATCATGTATTGAGCATCTACTGTACACCAGGCATTAGCCTGGGAGTTGAGACTAGAGAAGAATGAGCAGGACTTTTGTCCTGCTTGAGCTCAATTTGACCAGGAAGATGAGAGACACGAATGTGCATGAGCACCGTGACCTGAGGGCAGATGCATACAAGAAAACTGAGGGTTCATGGAGGAGTGGACTTGGAGCTCGGCCTTGGAATAAGCGTGGGCTCTGGGGACTGCACAAGGTATGGCAGACCATAGCAAGATCAAGGTCGCAGAGATATGATGGCTAAGATCTTCCCAGGCCTTTCATCCTGACCGTTAGGAAAGCAGTGGGCTGTAGACCACTAGGAGAGATCAGGGCCTGCAGGCTGCTGCTCATGAAGGCAGAGAGCTATCTGTGAAATAGGCCCTAAGCCTTCTCCTGCACACTCAGTCTGCTCCTAAGGCACCCTTACCTCCCCCACAGAGGGCCAGTGCTGAGCTCCGCACAGCTATCCCCACCGCAGCAGAGCACCCAGCCTTACCTCCATCCTTCCCATCCCTGTCTCTACTCTCAGGCCCAGCCCCCCATGACACAGCTCTGACACACCCCTAATGATGGCTCTACTTCTTTTGGAAGATGCTGACTATTCCTAACTATTACTGCATTTGTTTTCCAAAAAGCTCCTCCAGAGGCCACATGACAGGAGGAGGAAGACCGTGGCCTTGATCCCTCAGCTACCTGGTACTCCAACTGAGTGCCTCACGTGCCCTAGATTGTTACAGCCCACCCCAAAGTAGGGAGGACACCTCTGCACCAATGAGGACACTGAGACCCAGATGGGGCTGTGGCTTGTCCTAGGTCACCCAGCTAGTAGGTGGCCAAGCCAGGACTCAACCCAGGGGCTCTGGCCCATGCTGGGCTAGCACTTTCTCCAGCCAGAAGTGAGCTCTATTTTCAGTCCAGGGTTTGTTATTGCTGCTTAGTAAGCAGCACACTCATCCCTGGTGTTAATTTAAAATGACAGGAGAGCCAGGCACGGTGGCTCACGGCAGACGGATCACCTGAGCTCACAGGTTCGAGACCAGCCTGAGCAAGTGCAAGACACTGTCTCTAAAAAATAGCCGGGTGTTGGCTCGGCGCCTATAGCTCAACCGGCTAAGGCGCCAGCCACGTACACCTAAGGTGGCGAGTTCGAATCCCCAGCCCGGACCCGCCAAACAACAATGACGGCTGCAACCAAAAAATAGCCGGGCGTTGTGGCGGGCGCTTGTGGTCCCAGCTACTTGGGAGGCGGAGGCAGGAGACTCGCTTGAGCCCAGGAGTTGGAGGTTGCTGTGAGCTGTAATGCCACGGCACTCTGCCCAGGGGGACAGCTTGAGGCTCTGTCTCAAAAAAAAAAAAAAAATAGCCGGGTGTTGTGGCTAGTGTCTGTAGTCCTAGGTACTCAGGGGGGTGGGACAAGGGAATCGCTTGAGTCCAAGAGTTTGAGGTTGCTATGAGCTATGACACCACTGCACTCTACTGAGGGCGACAAAGTGAGACTCCGTCTCAAAATAAATAAATAAATAAATAAATAAATAAAATGATTGGAGACCCAGCTTGATTGTTTATCCACCTCTTATTCCCTCAAATGGCTGCTCCAACTAACAAACACTTCCATGCAAAGGGCCTATGTTAGTTTAAAAACAAACAAACACAAAAAATATAATCAAGAGCCAGTGAGACTGCTGGTCTGAGATGACAGTCCTTAGAGACAGTTCATCATCTCAGCTGGTTTTAGGTGGAGTCAAAGGACCTGAGTAGGGAGAGATGCTCCTGGCTCACAGTTCTTCTAGTAACCCAGCACATAGGACCAGTCCTCTATGGCTCAGCACCTCCAAGGACAGGAAGGTCACATCCACAAAAGCACCCCTCCTACTCATTTTGATTTTTAAAGGAGGCTCAGCTGGGCCTCAGGCCACCTGTCTGGTTTCTGAGACCCCTCCTCCCACACTGTGCCTCCAACAGCACAGAAGGTGGATACCAGGAGCCCCCTGCAGGAATTCACCACATCTGGTGACTGGAGAATGTGGGGAGATGTTTGGTCTGAACTCACTAGTAGTGGCAGCACTAGGACCTGACCCAGACCAGCTGTTGCTCCTGGTGATTGCCACGGCTCCTGCCACAGCTGCTCCCATGGTTCCATCTCCTGACAGTAACATGGTGCCATTGCTCCCCTCCCTCAGGGCTACTTTGGCTGAGCTGTCATCATTCCATTGCCCATCCAATTCTGGCCCCTCAGTGGACACTCTCCAAGGAACTGTCCCTGATGGCACAGGCTTCCCCCACCCCTACCCTGCCTCAGGCCTGTGCAGGCCACCAAGAGGTACATGTTCCCAAAGCCCAACATCTGCATGTGCTCAGAAAGTACAGGGAGGAGAGTTTAATGGGCATAGTCGGACACGACCCTCCTTAGGAGTCTGTGCACAGATCTCAACTGTCACTTCACAGAAGGATGCGCCCTGTCCCAGCCTGCCTCCCTCACACAGTCTGCTGGATTTGTCAGAAGTGCTCATGCCCATCAGGCCCTGTGTCATCTACTATCCCAAGGTAAGTCCTCTTCGCTCCTTCTACAGATGAAGAAACAGTGTCAGAGAGGTGAAGCCCACATTGCGGTGACAGCGGAGATGGGAGCGAGCACACTCACCCATCCCAAGACACCCCACAGCTGGCTCACTTTGTAATTTTGGCACTCAGCAGTGCCTGGCACTTAGCAACTCTCAATATCTGGTAAATGGTCAGTGATCCAACCCTCTCAATGTTTTATTTTATTTTATTTTTTGAGACAGTGTCTCACATGTCACCCTCAAGAGTGCCATGGTATCATAGCTCATAGCAACCTCCAACTCTTGGGCTTAAGTGATTCTCTTGACTCAGCCTCCCAGTAGCTGGGACTACAGGCACTCACCACAATGCCTGGCTATTTTTTTGCTGTAGTTGTCATTGTTGTTTAGCAGGCCAGCTGGTGCCCTAGCCACAGAGTACAGGCATTTCTTACACTGGAGGAGTGACTTGTCCAAGTGCCTACTGAGAATGAGCCAATTGGTGGGGCAGGCCCCAGAACTCAGACCTCCTCTTTCCCTCATTGGGGCCAACACTGCTCACCTGCCAGCTCCCTTCCCTACACCCTCCTTGACATCATTTGTTGATCACAGCCAGTCCCTGCAACTTAGCCCCGCGAAGCCCTCAGAACCCTTCTCAGCAAAGCACTCCAGCCAGATGCCCATTCTAGAGAGGGAAATTCAGGAAAAGCCCCCAGAAAGGGCAAGCCCCTCCTGAGCTTTGTCTGGGATCAGCCATCTCATGCTGACATGTTGATGAGCTATCCCTACTTGTGTCACTTAGATGTGCCACTTTTTAGGAGAAAAAACAAAGTCAGGGCCTTTACACTATTGGTGGGACTGCAAACTTTTATAGCCTCTTTGGAAAGAAGTATGGATAATCCTCAAAAAACTCAAATTAGATGTCCCATTTGACCCCAAAATCCCACACCTAGGCATTTATCCAGAAAAAATAAATCATTTTACCATAAGGACATTTGCACTAAATTGTTCATCTCAGCTCAATTTACAATCACCAAGATGTGGAAACAACCTAAATGCCCATGGATTCACAGGCTGTGGTACATGTATACCATGGAGTACTATTCAGCCATAAGAAAAGATGGTGACTTTACATCTTTTGTATTAATCTAGATGGAGTTGAAACACATCCTCCTAAGTTTCACAAGAATGGAAAAGCAAGTATCTAATGTACTCAATACTAATATGAAGCCAGTAGACAATCTAATACACACCCATACAAGAGAAAAAATTCAATTCAAATTGGGGGAGGGAGAACAAAGGAAAAAGAAGGGAGGGTAGTGGTGCGCTCCCACTTAATGAGCACAAATGTATGGGTGGATGGCATACCTTTTGGGTGTGGGACACAACCACAAGAGGGTCACAATTCTAATATTGTGACCTGGTTGTTTGTACCTTCATATTAAACTGAAATTAAAAAAAAAAATTTAACAAAAAAAAGTCAAAGGTCAAGGGTTGGGGTGAGGGGAGCTGGAAAACAAGAGATACTGAGCCATCCTTCCAGAAGAACAGTAGGAAAAAAGAATCCAGAAAAACTTTTCCTGTGGGGGACAGACTGGTTAAACCTGAGAGTCCAGAGATGGGTGGCACTGGTGCAGAGGGACAGGGTCCTGGCAGAGAATGAAGTGAACACACTGAATCCTCCAAGCCTCAGACACACATCCAGAGGCAGAACAGGATAGTGTCCCTGTGGTGCCAGGGCTCTCCAGGTATATCCCAGGCACTCCATCCCAAGTCCCCGCCTCAGCATGTCCTCACACCTGGCCCTCACTGTGCTTTCTGGCTGATTCAGTGCCAGGCAAACCCACCCTCATGCTCACTCAAGCAAAAGGCCCAAGACCACCACCAACAGTCTCCTCACTCCTGTGTGTCACTGAATTGCTCCCACCACCACAACTTGCATCTTCCCTGATGGGCAAGGCTCTGGTCAACGTTTGTCTCCTCTCCTGGGCTGTGAACTCCTCCAGAGCAGTGGCCTTGCTCAGGGACCTCCACTGGCACCCAGCTCCTGCCAGCACAGCCTGGAGGATTCTCAGCAAGCGAGTCCAGTCAGGATGTGGAAGCTGCACTTGTTAATTGCCCCCATAACCCCAGGTAAAGCCTAATGCAGCAAGGGCTACACAGGGCACGTTGACTTCCACGAGGGGCAGACACAGGGGACTAGGGAGACGGTAACCTCACTGATATTAGGAACCCACGTAAGATTAACCCAGAAAAGTAGAAACACACAGTTGCTGGTTGCAGCGTATAAGAAACTCCTTTGCCCTTTCTGTGTGGCATGGGAAGTACAGCCTGTCTCTGTTGGGAAGGACTGTGGACAATCACCTAGTTTGGCACCTTTGTTTTGCAGAAAAGGAAAGTGACTTGCCTATAGTCACAAAATGAGGAAACCAAACATAAGGCATGCACTTAGGGAGTCCCTCAAGCTAAATTTGTTAAACAGTACTCCAAAACACAGAAGGAACTATTGAAGCGCAAATATCCCAGGGAAACAACAGAGAAAGCATTCAAGGGAGGAAGTGGGGACTGTGCTTGCCTTTCCTCGATAAGACAGGCTTTGGCCAGACTCGCACCCCTAATCTCAGCACTCTGGGAGCCTGAGGCAGGTGGACAGCCTAGGTGAGAGGGAGACCTCATCTTTACTTAAAATAGAAAAACTAGCCAGGTGTGCTGGTGGGTGCCTGTAGTCCTAGCTACTGGGGAGGCTGAGGCAAGAGGCTCACTCGAGCCCGTGAGCTTGAGATTGCTGTCAGGTATGACACCACAGCACTCTAGCCAGGGTGACAGAATGAGACTGTCTCAAAAAAAAAAAAAGGCTTTTAAAACAAACAGGACAGGACAGGTGCTGTGCCTCATACCTATAATCCTAGCACTCTGGGAGGCCACGGCGGGTGGATTGCTTGAGCTCACAAAAACCAGCCTGAGCAAAAGCAAGACCCCGTATCTACTAAAAATGAAAAAAAAAAAAAAAAAAAAAAGAGGCAAGACAATTGCTTAAGCCCAAGAGTTGGAGGTTGTTGTGAGCTGTGGTGCCACAGCCCTCTACCTAGAGCAACAGCTTGAAACTCTGTATAAAAAAATAAAAAAATAAAAAAAACAGGACAGTGAAGTGGAAGCCACTGGAGCCCCCGATGTCCTCATACCAATGATGGCTACCTTCCCTATCATTACCACAGCCTTTTCTCAGAAGCAGGCCGCCTCTGTCATTTACACCATAGCATGAGTGTTGACAGTGAGGTCCAGATGTTCTCAAACCTTCCTGTACACCAGATAAATTCTACGTCTTTATCTCACACCAAATGAATCAGAAGCTCTGAAGAGGAGGCTCAAAAATACTTTTTTTTTTTGTTTTGAGACAGAGTCTCGCTTTGTCGCCCATGCTAGAGTGCAGTGGCAACATCAATATCACTGTATAACTCCTGGGCTCAACCAATTGTCCTGCCTGTCTCCCAAATGCTGGGATTACAAGTGGGCGCCACCACACCGAGCCAGAATTCACAGCTTGAAAAATTGTGAAATTTGTGTGTACTTTCACCACTTAGAAAGTACAGCCTCCTCATGACAGACTAGGAAACAGAAGACAGAAGGGAAAGATTCGCAAAGAGTAGCTCAGTGAGTTGGGGGTGGGCCCTGTCTAGGAGCCACATCTCCGGATTCTGGCTCCCCCACCCCAACCTGCCTCACCTTTAAAGGCCAGAGCCCCTTCCCACCACCTACAACCAGTTACCTTTGTAGGCCAATAAGCTTCCACTTCTGAAAATCCATAATGTGCAAAGGGGAGGAGGCCCAGTGCTTCACAGGCTTGGCATAGCAGCCATAGTTGGGGACAAAGATGGATAGTGCTGTCACAAGCTTCCTGACTATGGCCTCGTCTTCTCCCAGAACAACAAGTGTCCTCCCACTGAGCAGGGAGTAGATAGCTGGGTGTGCAAACGGGTACTGGCGGATGAATTTTAAGGCATTCTGGCCAGCCCTCTTTTTATGCCTTTCAGAAGACAGGCCAGCAGGATGAGTGGAGGGAATCCGGTCTGAGCTGGTGGAGGCTACACTGCTCATGTGGCTGGTGTCGGAGTAGTTGTCCAGGCTAGTCTTGCTGACATCCCGGTTAGCCAGCATGTGGCTTGGGTCCACTTCATAAGCAGGGAACCCTTCGCAATTGTTGTCTTGGGAAGAAGGGTTTTCCACTGAAAAGTCCCCATGGAACCCCTGGTCCTTCTGCCTATGGCGCTGTGGGGGGATGCTCACCACTCTGTCCTCATCAGAGAGTGCGTGAGCTGGGGCAGGAAGTGACACCAGCTGACCCTCGCTCTCCTTCCCAATACAGCAGGAGTCTACTTGTGACTGGGTGTTTTCTAAGCTGCCTTCCTCTGCCTCACCCAGCTCCGGAGGACTGATGCTTGCCTGGAAGTGGATGGCTTCCTCATTATCATCTGCATATGATTCTTCATTAATGGCACTTGGGTAGCTGGCCTTAAAATCATCAGGGATGAGGGCCTCTGAGGGGCAGGTGCTAAGGACTTCAATACTGTCCTCACTGATGGTCCTATGACTAACTGCTTTGCTTCGGACCACCTGGGGGCTCAATGGTACTGTGAGGCTGGCCTGACTGTCAGACATAGGCAGCACAAAGGCAGATTTCTCTGTGCCCAGAACCTCGATGCTTTCACCACTGCTGATACTCCCTTTCATATCCATATCCAGGTAGTCCAAGTTTTCCTGTGGATCAAAACTGCTCAATTCTGTCACCTGCACTTCCTCTTCATCCCCAAGTTCCTGCTCCATCTTGATCAACACAGATTCTACACTGGACTTGTAAGAACCAACACTAATTAACACTTTAGGAATGGGGCATTCTTCCAGAGACCTGGAAGGCAGCCTGTCTTGACTGGGCTTAGTGGGTATGCTCTCTTGTTTCTCCAACATTCTATCATCAACCTCCACAAAGTCTTCAAAGAGGAAGTTTGTTATGTGCTGTTGTTTTAAAAGTGCTCTGTCAATCTGACTGGTCAGGAGGTAACACAAGTCTCCTCTGAACATGTGCTCAATGTGGCTGAGCTGGGCCAGGGTCTGGGTGAAATATTCAGTGTCACAAAGTTCCTCTAAGGTCTTCAACTTCTTGTCAAAACACTTGGTGGACTTTGCTTTGATGAGTTTTGGGGTATATGTTGGTCTGCAGGTGTAAAGGTCTGTGCTGGCAGATTCATCAGGGTTAGAGGTAGTAGATGCCCGGTCAGCCTGATCTTGGGTAAGTCCCTCCCCAGGACATAGATCAGACCCCTTCAACTTCCGGTGAGGGTATGAGCGGATCTGCTTCAGCAAGTCTTGATGTTCAATAATGGACTTCTCCACACTGGCCAGTTCATTGGCTTTCTCAATTGCCTGAGATGAGTAGAAGCCTTTGTCATTGGCTTTCTTCTGGATCTCTGTTTCTGTGTGCAGCACTGTTCTGGTGTAATCCAAGTCTTTCAGCTTTTTTTCAAGTTCCCCAGCAAATGCCTTCCTGTTGCCAGTCTTCAGGCATTCAGAAGCTTTGGAAAATTCAGAGGAAAGCTCCTGGAACTGCTGCATGATTTTATGCTGGTCTGCTGAAATATATGCCATGCAAAAGGGCCTTACGAAGCCACGGGCCTCCAGGTCATACAGAGTAAGGTGGTGCACATATGCAAAAGCTCCCTCCTTGGAGTCTCCCAGCACCACCTTGGAATCCTCTACGAAGTTCAGCTTTGGGTATGCAGAACCAGGAGGATGGCCCACAAAGGAAGCCTGGTAATCCACAGACATGATACGTAGAGAGAAATAATTGAGATCAAAAGTGCCAAAAACTTTGGTGTCATTGGGGATGGTCAGTAACGGCTGGGGTCCCACCTGCTCAGAGAACTCGGAAATAAGAATGAAGTCCCTGGAAAACTTGGCCCCAGACAGTTTGGACCATGGGTTGGCACCCTGGCTGGCGAAGGGAAAGAGGGGCACAGAGTACTCCTCGGGCAGGGCCGGCTCATTATAAGGCTCTTCCTCGTACTCATCCTCTTTGGTGAAGGCCACTACGTCAGGGGCGCTGATCATATTTCCAGATATATGAAGAAAACATCGAGAAGTGGTGAGAAGGAAAACGGAGTTAATAGACGCTGCGAAGCCAGGCCTCTGGAGAAGGAACGAAGTCCTTATGGCCGTCTTTGCGCTCCCCCGAGATCCTAGGCTGTTTCTCACACACCCGAGGACGTGAACTCCCGCGGCCACCTCAGAGGTGGAGCTCCTCCGAAGGTCTCATGAACTTCAAGGCCACAGGCCCAGAAGACCCGAGTAGCTGCTTGCACTACTCCTTCCTCGGCTTCCTCCACCCAGCGCGGCCGGCACAAGGAACCTGCAGCGAGGTCACTTGCGCTCCTCCGAACCCACCGCGAAAGCAACAGCCCCCGCCCTTATCTGGTGCCTAACTGGAAGCTACGGGCTGCCGCAGGGGTCAGCTAAGCGTTGCCGCCCCCACGGCCCCGAAGGCAGAAACCGTCGCGGTTCCTAGGACACCACAACCTGGAGCCAGCTACCGCGGCGCCGCCATCTTGATGTCACATGACCCCTGGCATCGGCGCCGCGTGACCCGGAAGCGTCCGCCCAGACTCCGAGCCGGAGATTTTGAGAAAGATTATGAGAAACCGAGCGCTAAGTACCCGACTGTTTAACGGCCTCGCCCAGGGACTAGTCCGAGTAACCAACCAACTTTAGGAAGGAAGAAAAAGTGGGCGTGGGGACAGGGAGGAAAGGAAGACGAAGGTTCCGGAGGCGCGGGGCACTTGGGAGTCGTAGTTCGCGATCTCCGCAGAGCGCGCACTGGCGGAAGTGACCCAGAAGGCGGGCGGAAGCTGGACGCTACGGTTCGCGTTTGGTGGCGAGACCGGGGCAGAGGCTGGGAGAAGGCGGAGTTGGCACGGAGCCGAAACCCCCGGGCTTGTGTGGAGATAACCCGAGCCCCAGCTGCTCCCCGAGGCTCTAATTTCCTTACGGCGAGCGCCGCGCCTCGCATCTGGCTTCCCCAGCATGCACAGGCACCCTGGGTGCGGCTGAGGGCGCGGGGCCTAGGAATGATCGTCTCTTTTGCCTGCTTCGCGCTCCGGTGGCACCGACCGCCCGGAGGCCGTGCCTTGTCCCGCGCCGCCATGGAGGTGGCTTTCCGAGGGGTGCGGAAAGTCCTCTGTGTGGCCGAGAAAAACGACGCGGCCAAGGGCATTGCCGACCTGCTATCCAGCGGTCGCATGAGGCGGGTAAGAAAGCGCGTTTCGGATCATCTCAGCTGCCTTCAGGGAGGACCACCGAACGGGAACCTGTGGTGGGCGCCCCGAATCGATATGAAGGCGATTTTCCGGTTTCTGAGAACTTGCTGCTTTTCGCCCAGACTATTGCTGTGGCCTCTTGTCTGCCTTCCCAAACCATAGACTCTCCTCCGACTGATAGGTATTTTAAAGTGTAGTTCAGACGGTTCACTCACTTGCTAGAAGACCTTTTGTTTTCCTTGTCTATAGCAGCTTTTCCTACCTTGTGTGAGTCTCGCAACCGCCTCCGGCACTGGCTAAGGCTTTGGGTTAACATTCTTCCCTCGCGATTCTGAAATTAAATTCAGTTAGAAACCACTGACCACGTTCCCTTAACTTGGCATCCAAGCTCTGCCCGGTCGTTCCCCCACCTGACGCAGCCCTCCCCATCCTGGGCTTTGCCATCTCAAAGTGCACACTGACTGGGCAGCACTGCATGGTTTGGGGATCAGCCCTGTTCCCACCTCTGGAACTGATTCCAAGGGACGCAAGTAAGGGATAAGAATGTGTTCTACCCACACTCAAGGCACAAACGGAAAGGAAAGTTAAAATGTTTCATAACGGAGGTGGCACAGGGGACATTAAGAGCTATTCAGGAAAATCAAATAATCAAAGTGGATCCTAGAATGGTTTTCTAGAGGACATTTCTAAGAGCATGGGTGGAAGATCCCTACGCCCTTTTTCAGATCCCAGGGTCCTTAGATCTGTTTCTAGTTCAAGGACAGTGGGGGCAGGAGCTAAGGTTGTGTGAATGCTGGCTGAGAGCTTCACCGCTCTCCAGTACAAGAATTCCTGGTGACCAGCCCCAAGCTTGTGCACTTTTAGGGTCTTGGGCCTCTTGAGACCTATACCTAACTTCTTTATCCTCAGGACTCTGCTAAAATCTTGATTTCTCTCTCCTCCTCCCTCCCTTTTTCCAGTCCAGAAGCAGCTTGTTTAATTTGTAAAACCATGAACTCATAGGGAATAGATTTCTATAGTTCCATTAGTTCTACAAAGTGTGCTTCTCTGGGTGGAGCAGGCTGCTGCTTCAGTTGAACTGAGCCAGATATCTTTCTCTTTGGCTTCCTGCTTTTTTGATCATTTTCCTTCTTGCATTTCAGGAACTTAATATGCTCAATATGCATATTAATTCTCTGGGCAAGGATCTTACCTTTAAC